GAGGGGAGGACAAACTGTACATTTATGTCTGGGAGAACAAATCTAGGGCCCAACCCGGCATACGACTTAACCGATTGAGTAAGCCCAGAAAAACCTCAATCAGGATGGCGGGTGAGAGCAGAACATTAATAGTGTATTAATGGTGTTGTTACGAGTGAGGGCACAGGTGGTGGCAATGCCAGTAGTGGTGATAGTGTCAGTGAGTGCGGGATGGAGGTGCAGATGGGGTGGAGATGTAGGGGGCGGGGGAGGAGGCGGAGTGCTTTCTAGAGGAAGGAAGCGTCTGCGAGGCCGGAGTTTAGCCGGGAGAGGTATCTTGAGGGTGGTTGCGAGGGAATTTTATAGAATGGTAATGAGAATTTGTGAAGAGCGGTGGGGAAGGTGGTGTTGATTAGGGTTATCATGATTGTAAGATGTTGCTGGTGGTGTCTGTAAGATGGTGGTGGTGGTGGTGGTGGTGGAGCTAGTGGAGGTGATGGTAATGGTGTTTGGGATGATGGTGGTAGTGCAAGTGGGGGTGGTGGTGCCTGTAGGGGTGGTTGTGGTGGTGTTAGTAGTGGTAGAGCAGGTGGAGGTGATGGTAATAGTGTTTCGGCTGATGGTGGTAGTGGACGTGGGGGCGTTGGTGCCTGTACGGATGGTGGTGGTGGAACTAGTGGAGGATATGGTAATAGTGTTTGGGATCATGGTGGTATATTTGAGATCATGGTGTGATAGCGAAAGTGGGGGCGGTGGTGCCTGTAGGACTGGTGGTGGTGGCAGAGCTAGTGGAGGAGATGGTAATGGTATTTAGAATGATGGTGGAAGTGGGGACAGTGGTGCCTATAGGGGTGTTGGTGGTGTAGCTAGTAGAGAAGATGGTAATAGTATTTGGAATGATGATGATAGCGGTAGTGGTAATGGAAGGGGTGGTGGTGGTGGAGCTAGTGAAGGAAATGGAAATGGTATTTGAAATGATGGTGGAAGTGGTAGTGGATGGGGGGGGGCGGAGGCGTTGTTAGCGTAGGCGGCTTGGACGCGGCCGCGAAGAAAGAATCCCTTCACCGGTGGCGACTCGTGCTGCCGTGCAGACCGCCCCCGCCCCCGCCCGCGCTGCCGGCGCGCGGTCAGTGCCACCGGTGGCGCACCAGACGCCCGGTCTGTCTGCATGCGCGAGTGAACAAGCCGCAGTGGAAGACGAGACGTCGCATTCTGGGCAATGTGTCGGTGGACGGGCAAAAAAGTTTCGTGTTTCCCACAGTCGAGCTGTCCCGTACCAGTCCATACCAAATTTGTGGTAGGCAAACAATTCCTAAGGAATCCATTTTTCCCGACATGAAGGCATCATGATTCATAATCGCCCGTCATTCCATTGTTTATCATTTCCTTCACGCAAAGGAAAATAGACAAAATTTGAGCCCTGGCATGAGTGATAGTTTTGTTAATGGCTGCGAGGCGTCACTTCCTCCGATGTGTGTTGGTGACCGATATTTATTGTTCCCAGTCGAATTCGGAGATGGCAGATCAGCCAACCGATGGGGAGTTGTTAGATAGAAGATCATGGAGTCTATTATCTACTTATCAGTGCAGTGAAGAGAATCTAAGTATACTGTCGACCGCAAGCTCAGAGCCCACTTGCTTTTCCTAAGCATATCTGAGATTTATAATTTCTGTTCTCAATTTTTACCCTGCTTGTTCTTAACTTAATTTCCTCAGTTCTTATATTGCGAAGTCTGGTTACTTATCAGTTTCTTTTTTTGTTGTTATTTAAGTTCGCTTCAACGTCTAAGTCATTGGCGACCACTATTGCAATTATCGGTATGGTAACTGTGAAGATGACATGATATGGGGACGATTGGGGGTGAAAGGCAGAATACACAAATACAACCATGCCATAGGCGGGACTTAAACCCGCGGCCCTTCGGTCCGAGATCGCTACGGCACTACTACTTTAACTATCTCTGCAACCGGGACCGGCACTTATCAGTTTTTTCTCAGTAAAAAACAACTAAGTAGCGCGGACCACAGCGTTTCGAGAAATTCGCGGGCGAACCCCTCGTAAGGAGAAATATACTTTTTTAGCCAGGTGGCTGAGACATTGAAGATAAAGTCATCAACTCTGTCACGACGAAAAATGAATTTTATTTAGCTGTTTAGGCTATGCCCATTTTATTTTAAGTATTTTATTTTGTTATGAAGTAGTCATGGTACTACTGATAACTTTAAAAAATAACTTTTTTGGATTGACGAGTGAGAGAACGAATATTAAAGGAGGAGTTTTATTACGATACTGGTTAGAGTTAAACAATACAATAAAATGTTAAAGTCACGAAATGTTATTAAGAATTATTACACTAATACACTATATTCACCTCATTCATCATTATAGTTATCCAATAAAGCCAAGAATGAGGTATCGAATTCTTGGTTCTATCAATTTCAAGCACCCAATCTATCTTAAAGAGAATATGATACGGTTTACATGCATAATCTCCTTTCACTTTACACCACCAACTAAAAATAATGATTCTTTTCCGTCCCACTAATCCGTTCAGGTCTCTATCGTTTGTCGACCTCGAGAAAATTGGTTCCACAGTTCATTCTCCTCTTCTCTCGTTTTCATGGTCAGTGACTTTACTGTAGTACACGAGTTGCAAGTTGGCGTTAAACTGTGTTCGTCCAATTTGCGTTGTCCATGCTTTTACTCGCCTGGACCTTCGCTTCCACCGATGAGTCATCTACATAAATCATTAATATTCCTCGCTGCCAAGTGTGAAACGACTTTTTAGACGAATAGTCAACGACCTAGAAGTATGTAATATAGTTCCTCGCACCCGGTATCCATTTTTGCATTCAAAATCCATATTTAATGTGTTTATATCGTAAAATGTGTTCAGTAATAAGTCTCACTTCTCATTTTAAACAGAAGACATTGCAAGTTCATAATATATAATTGGGCATTCTATTTACAGGCCGACAAAAAGTGGTCCTGCTTCTCCTCCCCTTACGTTCACTTTCTTATTGCCTCAGGTGGTTCACCGACTTACGATTCCGGTCAGCCCTCTCGCTTTTATTCACGGACTTCGTTGACCTGGTTACCGCCATCTTAAATGGCGTCCGCGTCGTTACATTTCACTTCACACCTTTTCCAACTTCAGTCATCACAACCGAATACTTCTCATGCCTGAGACAAAAATTATCATTCTTAAATCACGTGAACAGGAGGAAAACCCGGAAATATGGTGCAGAGGCGTAAAAATATACGCGCTGTATCTTCATGGGTCCATGACTTGCACTCGAAATTTTTGTTAGCGAGTCAAAAATATCCACTGAATTCCGAGATGACGGAGTCTTTTGTATCTATTCTTGAACGCTTCAAATGCCTTCTCGCAGCCAAGCCCCCTGTCACACGCTTCTGTTCTACCAGACACCCGATCCTCCCTTCCCACCGCAGAGTGTTGCCTTAGCCACAGGGTAAAGGCTATCATCCTCGCCCTCCAAACAGCCCCTCCGAGACCTTGCGACCGCTGGTTCCGCCCCCTTCGCCACACCCCCCGTTCTGTAAAGCCGGTTTCCAGCGCCTCCTCCACAAACAACGACCCCGTCACCTCTACAAACTGCTTCTCGCACTCGTCAACACCTCCGATGTACCTCCGCTAGGATCTGCAAGTCGTTAATCCATTACTCTCGCCCCCCCCGTCTTATGCGTCTGTCTGATAACCGTCTACATTGACTCCACCATTACTAGTTTTAGTAAGTCATCTACTCCTCTATTACCCCTGCCGCTGTCTACATTTGTGCATTCATCTCGTATCTCCTCTGCTTCTTACACCACTTTACAACGCCCTCTCCGAACTTTGCAAACATCACTACCTCCGCCATGAACTCTAGCGTAACTATGTATCTCATGCATTTGTTTTCAATAAAGCTTATACGTATTCCTCTGCGTCATATTCTGAAATTTCCGCTTTGCTGTCCTGAATTTCCCTCATTGCTTTTATTATGTGCGGCCGTCTTCATTCATGAACTTAAACTCGCCGAAACTATCATTACCACAGCCTCACATCCAAAACCACCATGCCGCAATAACCACTCTCCCCCTATAGATACGACCACCACTACTTCCGCCATTACCTCTACCACCGACATCACACAGTACCGACGACACAAACACCACCTTCTCACACCGACACCACCGTTATCTCAGCCAATCATCTTAACGTCCGTCCTCACCATCACCTTTGCCCCTGTATCCTGCCTCTGGCGGCTGCAGCCTTGAGGGCACGTTGTGCTGGGAACCAGATGTCCCAAAGGTCTTCGAAGTACCCTAGGGCGAATGCTACAGCTCCTGATATCACCACACTAATGATAATTCGCTACCGCTTATCATTATACTGTTTCTCTCTCCCACCCTCCCACCCCACAGTCCCTCCCTCGTTTCAAGCGCGCCACTATCCCTTTTTTTACAAATTATTTTTAATCAGAAGCCCAGTGCTCCCGAGGGTGATGCGTAGACATATTTCTCACAATTTTCCATGACGATTCTTCTTAAAACATTCAAGAACGCGGAAGTGGCTACTAAAGGTTTTCTACAGCACGATTACATGCACAAATCCCTCGTAACGTAGTTACGAGACCCACGGCTCAGTCTGTTGTAACAAGAATCACGGTAACCCTCATAATTTTTGTGCCCCGTTTTCGCACCTTTGTACCGATTAGGCCCACTGTGTCCCGAGCGCTCTCCCCCACACCTCGAAGGCAGGGCGGCCGGGAGCAGATGGGCCCCGTCCCGCGCTGCGACAGAGCGCGCGTAGGCAGTCAGGCAGGCAAGAAGGCGCGCAGTCAATAAGCGACAGGGCGCGCGACGAGGCGCAGATCCCTCGGGCGGTGCGCTGCGGCGCGAGAGGACCCACATGCGCCGACGGAGCGCGCACACACGCGCCTAAGGCACGTTCAAGACGCTACGTGCTACGCGCGAGATGCAAGGCGCTTGAAACAAGACGCTAGACGCACGACGCAAGATGCACGACGCAAGACGCAAGATGCAAGATGCAAGACGCAAGATGCAAGATGCAAGACGTAAGATGCAAGACGCAAGATGCAAGACGCAAGATGCAAGACGCAAGATGAAAGACGCAAGATGAAAGACGCAAGATGCAAGATGCAAGACACTAGTCGCGAGACGCTGTTTGCAAGATGTGTGACTCTACATGCTGGATCAAAATCTGAACATCCTAAAATCAAGGCCCAAGGAAACAGACACAATTATTGTACAACTACAGTTGATAACATTATATAATTCGTCGCTTTTCTGCAATATTGTTGTAACTAAAAGACACGAAATTGGTGTTTTAATGTTAAATGGTAAAAAATCACGTTTTATATGTAATAAGTCTGCATCTAAAAATATACCAATTGCCACTAGGCAGATTCATGAACAGATATCAGCGCATTTTTTAATTTGGAACTTCAATATCATCAGCGAACCATGGTGGACGTAAGACGCATTTTTTCTGTTGTGTTAAATTTGTACCTAGCGGCACATTTGTGAAAAATGTTTAAAGGAAATTAATTTTTAATTTGGAATTGAGTTCCCTAAATGTCTACCAATTTTTCGCTCAATCATTAGAATAGTTTGTAAAATAGTGTTCCAACTCAGAATATCCCGATACTTTCCAAAAATAAACCAATGCATAGTTTTAAAATTGCATTTTAATGAATTAAAAACAATGAAAATAAATAAAGCTTTCATAAAAATTCCACAGCGATATTACAGATCTTTGATTAATGGCAAGCAAACGAAGTTCTGGGAAAACTAAATGTAGTTCTTTTGAATTTTTTTATTGTATACCTGAAAAGCGACGAATTCTTACCATTACAGTCGCTTCGATCACCGCAACTTTCGTAACTTGAGTTATGTCAGATCGAATTAATAAGCCAGTCCCTCGATGTTAAAGTTATTGTCTTGTTCCGAAGAATTTCACAGGGAAATATTTTAGGTTACAGAAACCGAGCAAAAGCAACGTGTTTCTTTTCAAAAGGCAAGACGCATGCGTTTTCTTCAACATGGTCTAAAGAAAAAATATTCACGTGTAACTGTGAAATGCGTGACTGTGTAATGTAATTTATGTAAAGTTGAGTTAACATACCATGCAAGCTTTGAAGGTGATGAAACTAGGTCCGAAAGGGAATCGAAAAAGTAGTATGTTTATTGGCATTTAAGTATTACCTCTATCAAAGAAAATGAATTAATTACCACAAATGCACCAGTCACCAAATAACTCAGTTCACATAAAGATATTTCACATGCAATATTCATTTTTTTCTACGAAGTTATTATTATTTTGACATCTGTCAAAAACATTTTTTGAGATTGAAGGTCGCGTATTATGAATCTCTACGACGCGTGTAATCGATTCATTCAACGATGCAGTCTTCCTGAGTCATCGTACTGGGACGATCTAACGATCTCTCGACATAAAGTTGAAATGTCATACCTTAACGTCAATCTAATAATCTCTTCGGATCTAAATTGCATTTCCAGTTAGACGAATTTTGAAGGATCATTCTACGTTGAAAGATGAATGGCGTAACGGTCTTAATAGTGTTCCTAACCGGTTTCAGTTTCCATAAAAAATTTATAATTAAATTTAATTATGATTTTCTATTTTCATTAATATTGTTAAGTGCTAATAAGACATAAACCCGGAAGATGAAAGTTCAAAAACACTTAAAAATGTGGCATTTAATTGTAACCGGTCTTCTTAAAAGATGAAATTGAAAATGATCGCTAAAGAGACTATTTATTCTTCCAACAAAAAGAGTTCTCTTTTCACATTTTATTACCCACTTTTATTACTGTACTTTGGCGTATCTTTGAATGCGAAGATTCCCCTATCATTTAAATTTTGAAACAGGATAAGAAGTGTTACAAATTTCCTTCGTCGAATTTTATTTTAGCTAGATTTCTATGTATTGTTGTCATAGAATTAATGAGACAAGCAAAAGTGAAATCAATCATTTAAAAACTGAAATGAACGCGACTCCACAACGTAATTTGATACCCACATGAAGTGGTTTGTCCAAGTCGCCGCTCTATCAACAGAGCTATTGACTGAATGATTAGAGATTCCGGGCGCGCAAAGCTGCTAAGTCACTAGTTCCGTAAGTGTAGTGCATGCATTATCGCGCAATGAGGGGGTGATCTCCCGCTGGATGGTGAGATACAGCACCGACCAACCCGTTGACTTGCGAGGTTTCCCACAACCAGGTATCTCCTTCAGCGCGGGTTCTGTCCCAGATGGGCAAGTTCTGAACCCCCGGCTGGTCTCCCAGCATATGTGTAATAAATACTCGGCTATCCGGGAGACGCCGCGTCGTTGGGTGGGGTGCCGGCGTTTCGCCTGACATTTCGCAGGCTTCCTCAGGGCAGTGACGACACTGGGCAGTGGCGAAACTGCCCTGAGGAAGCCTGCGACATGTCAGGGGAAACGTCGGCACCCCAGCCAACGACGCGGCGTCTCCCGGATAGCCAAGAATGTATGGATTCGAGCCGCGGATGCACGTATACATCATATGTGTAAGTAAGGAGTGAGGATAGGACAAGGAAGAGAAAGAAAACATCGCGCATGGTCCGTGGACCGTTTGTTAGGGTACTGCTGCGGCATTCGCCTGGTGTTGATCGGAGAAACTACTTCGACCTACTTGACAAGCCAATGTCGCAACTCCTGCCATCGGCGGGACTTGACTCCCAGTCAGAGGCACTGCAGTAACATCAATTAATTCCCTGAGCCACCTCCGCCGGTCCCATCAACCAAACACAGCGTAGATCTCCTACGCGCGCGCACCTCCTACGCTTCACCTGTCGACACTGGACGCTTCGTGCGCGTGAAAGTTCGCTCCTTCGGCCGTCCGATCGAGTGATTGCCTGCCTGCCTGCCTGCCTGCCCGGCTCCCCGCCCCCGCAGCTCGCGTGAGCGGCCGTCCAGGCAGGCATCCCCGCCCCCGCCCCCGCCCCTGCCCACAGGACGCTAATAACTTGGCTCAGCGGGAGAACCTCGCGGCTAACAAGAGAAGATTCGCCACGTTTAATTATTTCATTAGGGAGGAGGTGGAGGCCGGCGCCGGGTCCCATTGAGTGGGGCCATGCACTCTCCAGCACTTATCACGCTGCACTGACTTTTTGGCTGCTCGACACGAGCAACATGCCTTCTTTCTCAGCCAAGTACTCCTTTTTTTAGTTGTAACAATAACAACAACAACAATAATAATAAAAATAATAATAATAATAATAATAATAATAATAATAATAATAATTCATCACAACAATTTAGAAATCGACATCAGACGTTTGTGGGGGTACAGAATCAGAGGTCTTACGGAGCTTTGGGATTTATTCCACAAAATTATTTTTAAGAACATGTCCAAACTCTCACGTCATTCAAAAAACGGAAGTGAAAGTCATCAAGTTATTGGGAATCGTTGATACGATGAGCGGAATATTGTGGAGGTAGTCATAGTTACTAGATATTGTGGAGGTAATCATAGTACACTCGGTCATTAACAAGCTAGTTGTAAGGTGGAGTAGATTTTATATTTAAGCGACATCTAATATCTTCAGCCGTGCTTTCAGGGAGTAATACTAATTTGTTAAACTTCTTACAATGTTTATTGACAAAATAAATGATTAAACATCACGAGTTGCTTCATCTAAAACAATGTTCTAAATTATGTTTCTCAGATTATAGCAACATTGTCCGCAACATTCTACAGGACTAAAACAATGCTGAGGTGTAATTCTGCGACGAAATCACTGTCTCTGTGTGAACAAATATGACTATATATTGAGTTTGAAAGATCTTCCATTTTAATGCACACCTTACGCACGGGTCAGAATTTTAAGTAAATTTTGAACAAATGTTTCTTCAACTAGTAATCAAACTTCGGTCTAATTTTAAATTTTTACGTTCGAAAAGGTTTGAATTTTTGTGTTCAAGAGATACATAAAACCAAAAAGCATACACAAGCCATAATATTCATGTTTAAAATACCGAAAATTTTGGATAATTTTTAAACTGTCAGAAAAAGAAATCATTTTCAGAAGAAAATATGACGAGTTATCAACAATAGATAGTGATAATAATAGTGTGTACAAACTAGTAAAATTATTTAGTATCAGCTTTAAAAAAGTGCCTACATATTAAAATGTATGTATACTCTACCGTGTACTCATTCCCATGCAAACATTTTGGAATTATTTACTCAAATCTAATTAAATAAGAATGTTAACATTCCTGTATGTTCGTACTACACCTAGTTGCTAAATATGCACTGAAAGAAAAGTACGTTCTGAAAAGAAACTGCCAAGAAATCGAAATTATCCACGATTATCCTGTCAGCCACGCGTCAGAAGACACGCATTTGCGATTTCTCATTTTACTAAAATAAGGTTATATTTATTTTCTAATTTAGCCTGCATTTCTTGCGGGACGACTGCGGCTACACAACGTGTCAGCACTTACTTTAAGCGAGACGCAAGCAGTTCCTCTGCGCTTTATTGGATTTCCTCCTTCCCTGTGAGACTATCGCCCATTCGATGCACATAAAGGGCCGAGCGTCATACATCCGGGGCCTCTGAACTACTTTCCTGCTTACATCCCATAGCAACTCCATTCACCGCTCCGCTCCGTCTTGCTTTGCTCTGCTCTGTTCCGCCCCGCTCCGCCCCGCTCCGCCCCGCTCCGCCCCGCTCCGCCCCGCTCCGCCCCGCCCCGCTCTGCCCCGCTCCCGCCCCGCTCCGCCCCGCTCCGCCCCGCCCGCCCCGCCTCCGCCCCCGCTCCGCCCGCTCGCCCCGCCCGCCCCGCCTCGCTCGCCCCGCTGCCGCCCCGCACCACTCTGCCCCGCTCCACTCTCCCCCGTTCCACCCTCTCCCCTACGCCCCGCTCAGCCCGCCCCACTCGCCCCGCCCGCTCCACTCCGCCCCGCCCCGCTCCAACTCCGCCCCCGCCCCGCCTCCACTCCGCCCGCCCCACTCCGCACCCGCCCCGCCCCACTCCGCCCCGCCCCACTCCGCCCCCCTCCGCCCGCAACACTCCCATCCGCCCGTCCCACCCCTCTCGCTCGCTTCCCCCCGCCCCCACCCCGATCCGCTCCGCCCCGCTCCTCTCCTCCGCGCCTCCTCTCCTCCCCGCTCCGGTCCACCCCGCTCCGCCCCGCCCCGCCCCGCCCCGCCCCGCCCCGCCCCGCATCGCATCTATCTCCCACTCCACGCCCACCCCCTCCCCTTCTCACCCCACACATTCTGCTTTGGGCGTCCTCTCGACCGAGAGACCGACAGACCGACCGAGCGTCCGCCAGGCAATAAACCGTTTATGGCGATATCATGGAATGTTCGCGTGTGTGCGTGTCGGATGGGCGCTTCGAGGGGGGTACATAAACATAACTGAGACGATTTAACGCTCCAACAGATCCGATTTTCTCGTTCGACGCGACGCGCGGCGGACGCGGCGCTCCGCTTGGGCCGAACATGCCTCGCTACATGTTTACACCTCTCGCCCGAGTGGCCGGCGCTCGACGCCAGGCGAAGGTCAAGTGGGTGACGCGTCGGGGCGTCGCGTCGGGGCGTCGCGTGTAGGGCGGGGACCAAGCGCCCAACGCAGTCCAACACGGAATCCGTCCCTTGGTCTCTGGAAATTTACGCATAGGTAGGATGAGTGAGGGTTGGACGCTTATAGAAGAATTCATCTAATTGATCCCACTGACGGTTCGCATTGACCGAGAATGTGTTGAGACAATCTTCAATTTCTTGTTGTGAAATCCTTACGGGAAGAATTCATCTAATTGATCCCACTAACGGTTCGCATTGACCGAGAATGTGTTAAGATCTTTAATTTCTTGTTGGGAAATCCTTACGTGCACACGTGAGATAAATGGGGAGTACAAAGCCACTTGGAAGTCTAACTGCATCAGCAAGTTAATTGAATTGTTGGATGATTATCGAAAATGCTTTATCGTCGGCCCGTTTAATGTTGGTTCGAAGCTATTCATTCCAAATCTTCAAGTAAACGAGTACTGAAAAATCATGTTGAATGTCACTAGTGCAAGGTAAATTCCTAAATATCTCTTTTTATCGATACTTTCCACTTTCTATCTCTTACGAAAATAATTTTCCCTTAAATGTGCTTTATATTATCAAGTAATAGAATTCGAAATTTTCAATGAAAATTAGGTAGAATGGCTCTAGACTGGTCGAAGGTCGAGTAATCAATGAAGATGGTCGTAGGTAAAGTACCCGCCGGAAGTACACACTAAAGCCATAAATGAGGGTGTACGTGAAGAGATGAAAATCACTGGCTGCTAAGTCCGGACAGCGAGAGAATGATCGAGAACCTCCTAGTGATGAGAGTAACAAATCTTGCGAGGAAGACCTGCTGAGAATATCAAAGAGCCAGCATTGCCGCCCTCACTGCAGAGACTCTGTTTCAGAGGTCCTAGGGTTTGAGACCCGACGCTTGCGGATTTTCGACATTGGCTAGGTCGAATTCAACCGCTGCCTGGAGAAGAATTCTAGTGGTCGGTGCACTGATGGATAGTTTTCCATGGTTTCTCTAATTAATACCATCTGAATGCTGGGGCAGTACCCTAACAAACTGATAACGGATCGCACGCTATCCTTCACACATCCTCTTTGTCTTATTCTCTCCCCTTACTTACACTTTTGCTTACAAGCACTATACTACACACATTTCCAGGGCTTATAGCTCGTCCCTGTTGGGGTGCTGCCGGGCTGGGGGAGATACCTAGAAGTAAAAATGCAGATCAGCGCTGGAGCACAGAAGCCAGCGGGGGAGGAACATCCCTACCTCCAGGCATAAAACATGCACTACAATAACGGGACAAATCATTGCTGTTGACGTGCCCGAAACATCAATGAAGCAATCGTGTGATGGGGATGGGAAAATTTCAGATCGCTTCCTGTGAATTGAATGCAGCAAGCGCTCTAATGTGCGACCATTCGCACGAATGCAGCAATTTCCATCTCTTCGGTCCATTGAAGACGTAATTTGCGGATTCGAAATTGCAAAGCAAAGTGGAAGTTCAAAAAGCTGTCTGGACTTTATTGACTTCACCTCGATTTCTCCCTTGTCGGCAACGATGCATTGGCCTACCGGAACAAATGTTCGGAAAATGTCAGTGAAGAGAAGTTTTGAGAGACTAGTACTATTTTCCTAGTATGTGACCTAGTATGTGTAGTGTAGAGTACAAGTGCAGAATAAATTGTGCCCGTGAGAAATTATGTTCCCTTAAATTTTTATTCTCATCCCTTTAATGTGCTTGGTTAAAAATCTCGATTGTGAGATAAATTCTTGCTTAATTTCGCACTAAATGTAGACTGGACAAGTTAAATTATCTGTAATATTTAAAACTTGCAAAGGCACATAATAGGCAGAGAATACAAAATCCTTACTGGAGTTGAAACCCATGAAAATGTACCAAGTTGTGTCATATAAAAGAAAACATATAAATTATTCTTTAATATCTCGATTGCATATATTCTCACTAATAAATTGTGTTCGAGTGCTTTTTGATTAACCACAAGGGCTAAACATGTAAGTATATATTCCAATTAACCAGAATTATGGATAAAAAAACTGTTTACTGAAAAAAAGCTACTTAAAGTCAGTTAATTCATACGCATCGTGTCTAAATTTCCAGGAGGATTGTTCCCATGTAAAGAGTATTATTTGCGTTGCGTGAACCGAACGCGCTTCCCAGAATCGCCTTAGTGCTACTTTACACTTCCACTCGGCCAAGGAAGCCGAAGGACAATCGTTGCGTCATGGGCCAATGATGTCAACAGTTAACGCATAAGCATTTGGGAGGTGCGGATAATAGATGTCCGCAAAAGGACAAGTAGTTATTATTTTGTCATTCGGGCATCCTTATCATAAAACCATTAGTTTCTTCATGTGGCTTGGCATCGTGATGACAGCGGCGTTATGCTTCTGGCCCACCACTGTTGGTGACGAGCGGCCACTTCATTACAGCCGTAACTTCATGCCAAAAAAATTGCTCCTTGATAACCCTCAGCAAACCATCGAGAGTACATATAAGGCCCAATGGGCACGAGTTGGTGTGAACAAGGTCTCTCGTAAAACTATTTGACTAAGTGATATGGGTCCATACATCGTAAGAAAAACGACTTAGGACTGAAATCTCGGTCGTATTTAGAGATAAGCTAAGTGATCAGGAATGCTCTTTATTCTTGTTTTCAACGAGCATCAATATTTAGATGCATGTTAATGAGCCCAGAACGTTTAATCATCGAATTTTCGTTTCGGACAAAACTAAATATATTTATAATATCGTAGAAGATACTTGCGTAAACCCAAAATAAATATACAGAAAATTGTCACATTAAAGGACAACATTAGGTGTGTATCGGTGCTTTTCAGATCTATAGAACTGAAAGATCTCAAGAATTGCTACGAGTACTTTTAGAAATGAGTGCGTCCACTTTGTTTTATTGCAGCGGAAAGGTAGGAGATCAAATTAAAATTCACCAGCGTAAACGTTTCCAAAAAAAAAGGAAAATGGTTTGAGTCACTTCTTCAAAGGGGTTGCCACTACTTTGGATTATTTTCTTAAAGAATGTCAGAAGAGCAAACACCAATCTGCAAGTAATGATCATGCTATGGTAAATTCTGTGCAACTAGTCATTACTTTTGTAACGTATTTATAAAATAAAAATCATTGTTCGAGTTTATCTCAGCAATAAGCACGGAATTTTTTGACATCCCTTGATTTTATCCGGTAAAATATTTACGCCCTGTACTTACACCCCACTGAACCATCGAAGGCCGAAACCGCAAATAGATCGCCTTGAACGACGAGCAGACATTTTCCTTTCTTCACCATGCGGTCCACGAGGGGAATCACCTCGGAGTACGAACTCAGAACCTTCGCAGGTTCGGCCGCCCGCGCACCAGTCGGACAAAGAAGAGACGCGTCGCGCCGCGCCGCCACCGAAAATTTCACGACCTCACGTTCCGCCTCCGCTGACGCCGTCTCCGCCGCCGCCGCCGCTGCCACCGAAAGCGCGAAGGCGGCGGAGGTTAGGAAGAAGAAGAGGCAGAAAAGCCGCCATGACGCAAATCCGCGACCGCCAACCGTAACGTCGGCTTCGCGAAAAAAAAGCGAAGGCCGATCCCTCACTAGACGAAATTGCGTCAACCCTGGATGGAAGCACTCGGCCGGAATCTATCTTGTCAGGGAAAATTCTCCCGACAAGGAGACATTCCCAAATCGTTTGGAGATATTCAGGTTAGTAGATACTTTGACTCTTATTTTAAATGTCAAAAATTAATTTGCGATTTTTATTCTTGTGTAAATACGGATGTTAAGTATATTTTAATTTTTCCTGTCCCCAAGAAATTATTAAAATGTAATTTAGTTGAGAAAATGTATTTTCGGTAACAGGAGAAAGATGTGTAAATTCACATTTACCTGATAATAAATGTAATTTACAAAAAAATGTAAACCTTAATCTAAAAATATCCATCGTATTTATTATGAGATGACCAAATAATTTAAATAATTAAAAGATAAATTTAATGATGGATTTAAAATGTCGAATCAGTTTTCGAATAAGAAGTTATTTTTTCGTAAATATTTCAAAATAAAGTCTCTGAGTGCTACATTTAGATTCCATTAACCTTTAAAATTAACGAATAACCTAATAAATCGCCATTAATAATGTGCGTTATGACTCAGCAGTTCAAAGAAACGGAATTCGAGAGAACAATTATAGTGATAGAATTTGGAATGAAGAAAAGGTGGGTGTTTCTTTTGAATTTTCGAATCCCTCTTTCAATATGAGATAAAATAAAATGAATAATGTAACCATCTGGAATACCATTCATTTTCATTACAAAACTCATAGATGGAAATATCTAAATCGCAAGAATCTGGACGTAGAACTGTCCACTAAATAACCGAATAATGATATGAAAGAGTAATTGTCTCATACAATGACATCTATATTTTACCATCATCTCAATACACCATTCGTATAGTTTCCAATTAACACGCCAATATTGTATTTAATACCTGTGAAATGTAACAAAGGGAGATTGATGTGGATAATGGGCCTCCGTAAAAAAAAAACTTCAAACAATAAGGAACACACAAACAGAAAAGATGATTATTCAAGTTGCCTTTCCATACGAAACGACAGGTCGACATCATAATGAGTGCTCGTGTTCGTTTGCCAGCCCCTAGCTTCGGGCGACAAATACTCATTTCCGCTTTCAAACGAAGCGCGGGCAACGAGGGGTTTTCTTGGAGAGAACCAAGTCAGGCGTCTCCACTTTTGAGTCCGCCGTCTCTCCAGATGGCCGGGTACGGCCGGCCGGCCGGCCGGCAAGGTTCATCGCTAGAAATGCAATGCGACAAAAACAAGCCGTCATTTAGTTAAATTTAAGCCAGTCAACGACCGGCGACAAAACGACTTGTGGGAAAACTTACAGACTCAACCCACACACCCGCTGCCGGGTGACGCAATGAGCCCGTCATGTCTGGTGATGCTGCCCTCAAGAGGTCGCTGGTTCATAATGGAGATTTCAATGAATGCTAAAGCCTCACGGATCTTGGCATTGACGCGAATTAAGGAATTGTGTGCAGTAAATCCTTGTTAATACGAACTCTCTTAAAACGACGTTGTTTACGAGATAAAATATTCATCCCATCTAAAAGAAGAATACCCGAAAGTCATTTGTAATTAATTTCAATTGCCCTTGTTTATTGGACCTTACTTCATGCAAATTTCTACTAATTTTTTATGCTATGTATTTTTGTCGTTTAAAAAATACAAATACGCATCTTACATACAGATATTTTCGTACGTCGTATACTATTGGTTTGACCTATTGCTGTCGATTTTACTCGAATGTTTCGTTTAACAGGAATTTTGGACTCTTGATAGATGGGGCCTTTGCAATTCATGTTACCTTTCTTTGACAATTAAAATATATGAATAGCAAAATAATCGTAGTAGACTGCTAAAACTTATAGAAGACGTAATATGAGTGAAAGGTCGTGCGATCAAGGTCAGATTGATATTTCTATGGGCCTTGAGCATGTCCAGACTACGAACGTCCCAATGATATCGAAATGTTAAACTTTTTTTAAAAAAAGTATGACAAACTATAACATTTGCGATTTAAAAATATAGCATTTATATTGTTAAGTATTAATGAACTAATATAAAATTTTGTTTGATAGACACTCACGGTCACAGGTGTTCCTAAGGACATGTTTAGTCTGATTTATTCATTAACCTCTGCATGCGATAGAAATTGATGCATTATAAACTTGAAAATTGTGAAGAATGTTTCTAATAATGGAATAAAAACATACATTCTAGAATTGCTATTTACTCTTAGATATTGAGTTATTTAATTATTAAAAATGGGAATCACAAGGCACAGAAAGAGTTCGTTGAAACATGAGGGAGTGCATCAATGAAGACTGAAAGAAAATGCACACTATGAACGAAGCGCGAAGGAGAAAAATTGTGACACATAGGCTAGCAAGCGTATTGATAGAACTGTTGAATGATCGTAAGGAAAAACTAACACAGAAAATTAACTAAACAGAAAAGGGAAAAGAATGAAAGAGAGGGAAAGGTGTACAGAATGGAGAGTATTCGAGAAAGAATTTAATAACTGAGAAAGGGAAGAAGAACCGAAGGATTGAGAGAAATGAAAGAGAACAAAAGAAAACGAGATTGTTACAAGTTTCAAGAGTAATTTTCAGAGGTACACAAGTCTAATGAGCGACGGCGTAGAATAACTCGAAGACAACAGGAAAAACTGTCAATCCACAACTGAAAATGCATCTGAAACTTTCGAATTATTTCAAACTTTTGGGATTTTCGAAATTGAGAAATTTTCTACACAATCGTTCTTTACACTATCCGAGGGCAAAGTTTAATCAAAACGTTCGAAACCACTTTCGAGGAAAGTTTGAAAAATGGGGATGGAACTTTTATGCAAAATATCTCTCAAATTTAAAATATCGGTTTCAAACTCTCAGAATCTCGAATTCGTTCAGATAGATAAGAAAATATCAATTTTAAGAAAACGTCAGAACAGCAGAGCATCGTGCTAGCATTGATCACAGACGGACGGACAGACAGACTGACTGGTAGACATTTTGCTGTCAATCGATCAATGGCCTACAAATCATGAATTTTGGCTACATAACGTGTTAGAAAAAGTAATTTTCTACATATAGAAACAAGATTTATCCACCTTCTCGTTACCGACAATTCGATTTTTTCTGCCAAAAATTACATTACTGTCTCTTTATTATGTAAGTACGTAGTAAGGCGCGGAAATAACACGAGGGCATGAGTCACGTACTCGCAAATACGTTCGCGACGGCAAAGTAATACACTCGATTTTACGACTTCGAGAGCGGAAGGGTGCTAGAGCCCGACACCGAGAGCGCGGGGGCGTGGGCCGCGCCATCAGGCAAAGGCGGAGGCGGGGCGACGGCGGAAGCGGGGGTGGGGAGCGCGGTGAAGGGCGGACAGCTGCAAGCGAGCGGCGCACGCGGGCTAATTTGCCTCTTGAGCGACCCCTGCTTCTGCCCTAGGCTGCGCTGCCCGTCTCCGCCTCCAAGCCCCCGCCTCCATCCCCGTCCCTGCCCCCTCCCCTCGTTGCCACCCCCACCTTCGTCTCCGTCTCCTCCCCTTCTGCCAGCCTCACCACCGTGCCTACTGCTGCTGCCACTCCCACCGTCCCTGCCGCCACCGTATCGTCTTTTCCCGCTATTTCGCCGACTAAATTACCTCCGCCTCCGCCTCCGACACCGACTCCACCTTCGCCTCCCCCTCAGCATTTGCCTCCGCCTTCATCTCCACCTCCACCTCCGCCTTCACCTTCGCGTTCATCTTCGCGTCCACCTCCGCCTCCACCTCCGCCTCCTATCTCCGCCTCCGCCTTCCCCTCCGCCTCCATCTCCGCCTTCGCCTCCACCTCCGCCTTCACCTCCGCCTCCATCTCCTCCTCCACCTCCGCCTTCACCTTCGCGTCCATCATCGCGTCCACCTCCACCTCTGACTCCACCACCGTTTCCACCCCTGTCTCCACCCCTGTCTCCAACACCGCCTCCAGCTCCGCTTCCGTCTCCATTACCGCCTCAACCTCTGTCTCCGCCTCCGTCTCCGCCTCCGTCTCCGCCTCCGTCTCCGCCTCCGTCTCCGCCTCCGTCTCCGCCTCCACCTTCGCCACTGCCACGTTCCCTATCACTGCCACCACCATCAGCCCCCGACGCCACTGCCGTCTCGCCAGCGCAGCGCCTCCGCTCCCGCTTCCCGTCCCGCCCCCGCGGCCGCCGAACGCATCGTAAATTGCGGCGCGCAGGGCGACGCTCCAGTTGACCCGCCTTTCCCGCACTGAGTAATACGAATAAAATGCTGGCTGGTCGAGCCGGCTGTTCGCCCGGGACAAAGACGCCTTGCACACGTGCGCCTCTTCCGTCTCCGCGCGCGTGCGGCAGCGCGGGAGCGGCGCGGCGCCGGAGCGGAAGCGCGGCGGGAGGCGCAGCCCGGAGCGACGACGAGGCCTAGACGTGGCGGTGGCAGGTTGGCGGTGCGGGCGTGGCCGGGTCGGTGCTGTGCGTGCGGTGCCGGCGCGGCGCTGCGGGCGACGGAGGCTGGCGGCAGCACGATGCGAGGCGGAGGCTAGCTCGCGGCGGCTGAGAGGCGTTGCAGGGTCAAGTCCAAGGAGGTGTCCGTGCTGCGGTGATACAGGATTTTTACCCAATCGGGTGAAAGGTGCGTACATAACCCCAATTTTTTTCTTCCACGACTTCAGAGAAGTTTAGATACTACACTCTACGGGTGTAAGTCAGATATAAAACACACTCAGACTTAGTGATGCATATGTTAAAACCATATGTAATAGTTCTTTAGTAGTTTTATGTATGCCTAATAAGAAACACATTCGTTTAGTTGACGTTTAAAAAATAGGGAAACTACTTGAGAAAGAGAAACATTGAAAAGACATCAATTTATTATGTGTCATGGCATGTACAATATCTGTTCGTGTCCTATGGCTCGACTGCCCGATACGGGCCTTGGCCGACCTGGCATGTACAATATCGCTAATACATAAAATGGGCAAATATTAGGTTTCTGTGTTTGCACATCATTATCTTGTACCAACACACATTACTGCATCAGTAATCTGGATGTAACTGTAAGTTAGTTTAATTTATATTTTCAATTGTGAAACTCCGTACTGATATTACTCAGGTATTAATTTAATAATTTTCTTTCACATTTTATTAATTTATTGTTTTGCAGTGAAATAGCTAAATTTTCAAATGTTTGTAAACATGTGTGTAAACATGTTTCTACGTAAGAAATTAATTGTACATACATTATATTTTATATATTTTAATTGCGTATGTATTTTGTAGCTTATCCCTTTAAGAATAATAGGTACATAAAAAATGGTACATATAATTAAACATAATATTGTAATATTTTAATAATACGAATCAACTAAAATTTCGAAAATGAAGTATGGATTTTCTCTTTTCGAAGACTCGCTATCATGTTTTCAGATTAACATTTTTTTCTGAAAAATCGCAAGAACGTTGTACAAAATTTAAATGACTTTGTATAAAACCAAATAAGTGTTGTTTAAATAAAACTCTTAACAAACAAGAAATAAATATCTGAAACATCCAGTTTTGTTTGTCTCATATTTCTGAGTTCTCTCGAGTGCGGGGGAGGAGTTGGAGAGCTTGCGCACACAGGTGACCTTCGAAGCAACAAATTTCGACTCACGATTCCGCAGTGACGGTGGATCTCTCCGGTAAAAGGCGTTCTGTCACGCGGCATTCGGAAGCCTTTGACGTCGTTTCGAGTATTTAGTAGTAGCCTTTCGCTCAACTACCAACCAATATCGTTAAATACAAGACACTGTTATTTATCCGTCAAGCTCTTGTTAGAATGATGAGAGTACAATCTCGTATTTGAAGTTTAGACTCTCCATTCAAGCAACGATATTTTGAAATCTAAAAATATTAATTACTTTTATTAGTTTCTGTTCTCTACCAAATACACTAAAACGAAAACTTCGTTTTCAGAGGGAAAAGAGAATCCTGTATGAGACCTGTGACTTACCTAAAGAAGAGATAGAAAAAACGTTGATGACACGTATGGAGAGAAATACACTTATTTTTCGACAGATGTATTAAATGTGTCAAATTAAAGAAAATATTAAAATTCAGTGATTTATTTTCAAACGGATTAATAATAGGGACAACACAACTAGAGCCCACTACTTTTCATTTAAAGTACGAAATTTTAATTGATTACAATGCTCAAATTTCGTTTCTAACGAATATCCTTGGTGTTTTAAATGTTCATTTTCTAAATTGTGTTCTCTGTCGTCGAAATAAATTGAAGAAAACTCTGAAGTATTGAATTATTAAAATGTTTCTCACGTTTGTCTTTAGAAACAGTTCATATTGCACTACTGTTTGAATGAGTTAATTGAATGAACGCTAATCTGCGAGTGCTCTCCTGCGAGTTGCAATAGATCTATCGAAAGCTACCAAAGTTTTATAGCGACATCTTTAAGATCAAAGATTATAGAGAGTATTTAAATGCTAAGATTGTAGAGTGTGTATAAAAGCAATGTCCAGCAATCATCTGGCATAGTATTTACAAAAACGTTTCAGCGTTTATAATTATACGTGATGCATTACGTTTTTAATTTAGTAGTTAAGAGAATTTTCTGAAATAATCGACAAAATACTATCAACAGTACAGATCTTGGGAAATATAAATCATTTCAAAGCATTTTCACAAATATGTTTATGTAACTCTGAGTCGACAAGGAGTAGTGCTTACATTGTTCCAGAATTTATAAACCCCTCAATCCAAAGAGTTCCATAATAACTATTGAACGACATGAAAACAATTTTCGTGGTTTTTGTTTTCAGATATATATATATATATATATATATATATATATATATATATATATTTGTAAGTTTCCTGTAGGTCTTTCTTTTGTGAGATGTAATCGCACGGGTTCCGCTGGTAGTGTATAAAAAAAACAGTTGCGCATGTAATGCTATTTCATAAGCCCTATTCAAAAACAATCATCTGCATCTCTTAGAGTGTAAATTTAATCATTATTGCCGGCAAAGAAGTACACCCAAGGCCAACATCTCGCGTGGCCGGATGACACAGCTAGTGCGGTGCGTCCGCTTGGAAAATGTGTCACCCTTCTTCAGGCAACGGAAACGGGAACCTAAACACACTCCACTCCTCCGCGCTCGGCCTCTTCCAGTTTTAGAAGTGCACAAAAACGGCTGTTACTTTGCACTAAATACACAAGTCTCTCAAACCGAGGGTGAGCGGGCGTGCTGCTGCTTGTAGGTCTCGCGCCTTTGGACAAATGTGGTCTGCAAAAAATCCGACGACACCGTATCCCTTTGCCTGGCATTTGTGAATAAATAAACAGTATAAAACTCACTGTAAGATAGCCAGTAGATTAATACATGTTATGAGAGCAAATATTATAAAAACATCGTAGTATCTGAGACTTCGCATAACTTACATCATGTTTTACTGCTTCCGGGCTACTTTAGGACAACTGTATACACTTCGTGTATACATTGTTGTCGTAAAATGTGAATCTACTAGTGAAAAGATGTTCGTTTATCGAAACATTCTTCAGTAAAAAAGTGTTAGCCCAGGGTCCATGTGTGGACGATGCGAACATATATACAAGAGGATTCGCTAGAAATCTATCTTCGAGATTAAATGAAAACACCTACATTAAGAGGAAAGTTACTGAAGTAAATTACTTATTAAATAAAATAATAATATTTTTATAACGGGATGTTGGCCATGTATTAAATTAAACTTATGTAGATTCTCCAAAGTTTCGGAACATAACATTCCAGTTTGAGAACGACAACATTGATACATTTTATCTCGCAACACACCCGGGATAGGCAACCAGAGACACACGCCCAAATTACAATAGGGAGGTATGGGAAAATCGCAACTGATCACTCGCTGATGGCGGCGCGAGCTACTTTATCAATTTTTCTGTGTCTGTCGTGATCTATCTATCCATCCATCCAAATATCTATCTATCCATCTATCTATCTATCTATCTATCTATCTATCTATCTATCTATCTATCTATCTATCTATCCATCATCTAACTATCCATCCATCAATTTTCTGTCAATTTATATATCTCTCAATTTATCTATCTGTCAATTTATCTGTATATTTATCTATCTATTTATCTATCTATAAGTCTATTTATCTATCTGTATGCCTATTAATCTATCTATATGCCTATTAATCTATTTATATGCCTATTAATCTATCTATATGTCTATTTGTCTATCTATATGTCTATTTATATATCTGTCCGTCCATCCATCTGTGCTTCTATCCATCTGTCCGTCTATTCATCTGTCCGTCTATTCATCTGTCCGTCTATTCATCTGTCCGTCTATTCATCTGTCTGTCTATCCATCTGTCTGTCTATCCATCTGTCTGTCTATCCATCTGTCTGCCTATCCATCTGTCTGCCAATCCATTTGTCTGCCTATCCATCTGTCTGCCTATCCATCTGTCTGCCTATCTATCTGTCTGCCTATCCATCTGTCCGTCTGTCTATCTCAACACAAGCGTCTAAGCTTTCCACGGATTCGTAAGGATTTTGAATGAATGAGAGTTTGAAGATGAAAGTTTCTCGATCGATTTGGCAGAACTATTGTCCAACAAATTAGATAATATATTTTGTGGAGACCTTCAAGTAAAGCTCGTAGGTGAAGGACCATTTAAAAATTGTTGTAAAAAGTTAATCCATCTTTCTTTAATATCTTTTTTCTGGAATATAATGCCTTATAAATATCACTAACGTGCTATTTCGATTAAAACTTCCAAAATTTCGAAAATTGAAAACTTCAACGTTTCTTCGAATCCGTTCTACACAGTAATTATTTGAATGTAGGTATATGCTTTTAAATGCAATCAATTTTTATATACTACCACTTTTATTTATTTCAGGAAAATCTTTAAAAATAATCGAAGTTATTGCATAATTTTCTTCCATGTATAATCATTCACAAATAAAACATGTAATTTTTTAATATCCCGCAGTTTCGATTTTGATGATAATTTTTCAAGCTTTTGATGACGTATTAGTAGAATGCAAGTTGCATTATCATAATAGTACATAACCTTTACAAATTACATGAGAAATGTCATGCTTTAATAGCTATAGTAAATGTCTTATTAGCAAAAAATTCTTTATTTCGTGACTTAAAATGAATAACTACAAATGGTGATAAAATAACGAGAAATGTTCCTCAGTCCTAAGGTAAATATATGCATCAGAAGAGAGATTTTTTTGGCGACTCTAATAAATCTTTAAGAAAGTCATGTTGGTACTGGCCTCGACTAACGAAAAGTCATGAAGGTACTGGTTCCATCAAAGGACTTTTCTCGTTAAGAAATATTTTGGGTAGTGGGGGGTCACTCCCCAATGTTCCCTAGATCCGTCACGGCTTCTGTGTTTCAGGTCTCGATAATTCCTTTTATTTTACCTTAAACCACAAACGACGATTCTTATGTTTCTTTGTAGGCTACTCCAGAAACAAATGGAATAACACGTTCAAAAAATAGCAATTTGGCGTCTGATCTGTAATTTTCATCTAGACTCGCTTGGTAAAAATATTTAGGCAAAATTAAGCACACAAAAGTTTGAAACAGCCCATACACAGTTT